AGGTATTGACTAAACCCACCAGTTCTTTTCTCTGGTGTTCTGTCAGGTCTGTACCAATTTGAACATCTTTATCTGACTCCTTGTGTTTACAAGTTCCTAACTCTAGAAGATCATCTTCGTCTACAGCATTCTCTTCATCTGACTCGTTGCACCCCAATGTAGCTGCGAGCACAGCATTCATCAGGTCTATGGCTGTATTTGGTGAGTAACTTGTCTCACTTACATCTGGTTGAGGTGACGTCTCCCGCTCAACATACAACGTCACCTACCCTCACTCGATAATCGTTTTCGCCTATTACCTGCTCCACCACATAAGGACCCTTCCACTACATCAATAGCTTGTTGTTGTCAGTTGACAGCAAAATTAACACCTTATCTCCTTCCTTAAGCACTCGTTTCTTCATTCTACGATCATAGTAACACTTGTATCGGTTCTGTACCTTCTGTAATTCCTCTTGAGCAATCACTAAAGTCTTTCTAGCCGATCTCTCAACTCAAACACATACTGGTAACTATTAACTATCTCAGGAGTATCACTTTCTTTGGTCTATAACTCTTTAAGGATCTTTATTGGGCCTCTAACTGTTCGACCATATAACAGCTCAAATGGGGAAAAACCAGTTGACTCCTGTGGTACCTCTCTATATGCGAAGGGTAAAGCACTAATATACCGATGCCATTGCCTTGGTTGTTCATGGCACAACCGCTTTAACATCTTCTTCAAAGTACCATTAAACTTTTCCACCAGTCCATTACAAATGGGGTGATAGGGCGTAGACGTCAGTCTCTTAATGCTGAGCAATCATGATACTTCTTGCATGCATTCTGTCAAAAACTGAGTCCCCATGTCACTTAGTACTTCTTCTGGAACCCCCAATCGGCTATAAAAGTCAATCAACGCCTCGGCTACAGTTTCTGTATCTATATTTTTAAGTGGAACCACCTCTGGATACCGTGTAGCATAGTCCACCATAGTTAAGATGTATCGATGACCCCCGTCACTGTCTGGCGTAATTGGTCCAACACGGTCTATAGCCACACGCTTGAATGGCATATCAATTAAAGGAATCTTACCTAATGGGGCCTTCACAACTGATCCCTTTGAAACAGTCTTCTGGCACACATCACACGACCTACGAAAACTGGTAACATCTTGATGTAGCCCAGGCCAATAAAAGCTAGTCACAATCCGGTCTTCTGTCTTCTTTATCCCCATGTGTCCACCAAATATTGAATCATGGGCAATCTCCATAACACGAGTCCTCAACAGTTTCGGCACAACCACTTGACATACTGTCTTGCCTCCTGGAACTGAACGATCCCGATACACACGATATAGCATGCCTCCATATACCTGGAACTCGGTTGTATGGTGCCCTCTCACTTCTGGTTCTCTCTTATAATACTTCTTCAACGATGTGTCTGCTTGCTGCATCTCGATTAATTTGTCTTTTGTTACATGTGCTTCAGTCTTTACATCACACACTTTGAGCGGCTTCACCTTACCAGATTTCTTCGCTTGCGCTCTGGTTTTTACTGCTTCACTCACATTCCACACTGGATCCTGGGCTCATCTGGTGGTCTTGCTCCGGGCACATTCCCAACAATTAAATCAAAGATTGGGTCCTGCACACATAATGCTTAACTGTGCCTCTCAAATATGGACGTATCATTTTGCACCATGGCGACTGGAAC